TTCTCATCCTTCTTCTTCTTCTCATCCTTCTTCTTCTTCTCTCATCCTTCTCCTTCTTCTCATCCTTCTTCTTCTTCTTCTCATCCTTCTTCTTCTTCTCATCCTTCTCCTTCTTCTCATCCTTCTTCTTCTTCTCATCCTTCTCCTTCTTCTCATCCTTCTTCTTCTTCTCATCCTTCTTCTTCTTCTCATCTTCTTCTTCTTCTTCTCATCCTTCTTCTTCTTCTCATCCTTCTTCTTTTCTCATCCTTCTCCTTCTTCTCATCCTTCTTCCTTCTTCTCATCCTTTCTTCTACTTCTCATCCTTCTCCTTCTTCTCATCCTTCTCCTTCTTCTCATCCTTCTTCTTCTCATCCTTCTCCTTCTTCTCATCCTTCTCCTTCTTCTCATCCTTCTCCTTCTCCTTCTTCTCATCCTTCTCCTTCTTCTCATCCTTCTCCTTCTTCTCATCCTTCTCCTTCTCCTTCTTCTCATCCTTCTCCTTCTCCTTCTTCTCATCCTTCTCCTTCTTCTCATCCTTCTCCTTCTCCTTCTCCTTCTTCTCATCCTTCTCCTTCTTCTCATCCTTCTCCTTCTTCTCATCCTTCTCCTTCTCCTTCTTTCTCATCCTTCTCCTTCTCCTTCTCCTTCCTCATCTCCAAGGGCATTTAAATTAAAGGTACAGTGTTCTGCACTAATTTAAAGGCTCTCTGAAGCCTAGAAAGCCTTTTTATAAGTTGAATTCGTAGCGAATAAATTCGCATCGAATCGAATTTCTTCCTCAAATTCGGCGAATCAGCCGAATCGAATTTTTGAATAATTCGCTCATCTCTAGTCCTGATCATCACCATACCAGCGTCCTGATCACATTCTGTTACATTTTTGGGGTAAAAATAACCAAAAACAGTGCATATATTATTTAGTCTGTGTGAAAGCTATAGAGTCTACAAACTATGGAATACATATTTGAAAATTGAGCAGTTGAGACCCTAAAATGCCAGAATGATGAATGGCAGTGATCAGGACACTGGTATGGTGGTGATCAGGACGCTGGTATGGGGTATGGCAATGATCAGGATGTTGGTGTAGGGTATTGGTATGTGGTATGGTGGTGATCAGGACACTGGTATGGGGTATGGCTGTGATCAGGGCACTAGTATGGGGTATATAACAGACACCATGACGCTGGTATGACATATGGGGTGATCAGCCATGCCCCAAACCAATGCTCTGATTACCGCCATATCTCATAAGAACACTTTGATCACCCACCATATACCATACCAGCACCCTTATCATCGCAATACGCCATACCAGCACCCTGATCACCACCATACACCATACAGTGCCCTTATCACTACCATATCCCATACCAGCATCCTGATTATTGCCATGCCCCTTACCAGCATCCTGATTACCGCCATGCCCCTTACTAGCATCCTGATCACCCCATATGCCATACCAGCGTCATGATCGCTGTTATACCCCATACTAGTGCCCTGATCATCACCATACCCCCATACCAGCATACCCTATTCTGATCACCACCATACCAGTGTCCTCATCACTCCCATACATCATTCTGGCATTTTAGGGTCTCAAGTGATCAATTTTCAAGTATATATCCCATAGTTTGTAGACTCTATAGCTTTCACACAGACTAAATAATATACACTGTTTTTGGTTATTTTTACCCCAAAAATGTAACAGAATACATTTTGGCCTAAAGTTATGAAGAAAAACAAAAACTAAGCAACATTTTTTTTCAGCATTTTCTGTATTTTTTTTTCATTTATATAGCAAAAAAATTTAAAAAAACCCAGTGGGGATCAAATACCAGCAAAAGAAAACTCCATTTTTGTCCAAAAAGGATACAAATATCATATGGGTACAGTGTTGCATGACTGAGTAATTGTCACTGATATTGTGATAGTAATGAAAGCTGAAAATTGCCCTGGACTGGAAGAGGGTGAAAGTGTCCAGACTTGAAGTGGTTAAAATTCAACTTTTATCTCTTTTTGTGGAAATCATACTTTATTTTAACACTCACCTGTGGGCAAATATTTTTGATTAGAAACGTTTGAATCTTGGGTATAAGTTGTGTGAATCTTTAGTGAATATGTTAACATATAGAACCCTAAATCTTCCAAAAAAATTTACATTCTTTAGGTACAGTTTTTACTGTTCACTTTTGAGGGAAAGTTCTTTATTTTTTCATTGTCTAGAAAACTGTACAGTATGTTAGTGATTTTTATAAATTGCATTGATTTATGTTTTGTGTGTGTCCTAACCATTCTATGTTTTACCCTAGAAAAAAATCTGGCAGGTCTCAGTATTCAATGCCAATGTGTTTATTTGTCTAAAATATATTTATTTCTAAACTTTCTTCACAACTAGACTGGACCAAGAAATTTTATTTATTAATTACTAAGGGTTCAAGTTTTGATTTTTGTAGTCAGAGTTTCAATAAAGCTTTACATTTCTCATTTGAATGCTTATATTACTTGCTATGATTTATTTTAAAGGTCTGCTTTGTCCAATTCCTGGCTCAGCTTTGAAAATACATCTTGCTTTTCTACTGAACCTGTCAGGACACAAATATATAGGCTGCCTTGTACCTGTAGGCTAGGTGCTGTCTTCTTTATCCTTTCTTTACTACTTGCTGGGTCACTGACCTGGAACAAGTATGAGCATATCAGTTGTTTACATAAGTATTACAGGACCTTCATAAACAGTTCCCATAGTCCTATCTTGACAGATTCCCTTTAGGGTACACTAAAGCTGAAAAAGATGGAGGATCCGTTGCATTAGGAAAAAAACCTACTTATAATATTTTAATATCTTTATGCATGTAACCGTATGAACTCCTGTACAGACAGCTATTAAATGAAAATTTGCTGCACAGCCTAATATGTTTTGCTAAAAGGTTATTACTAAAAGAAAACCTATTAGCATCACAGGTACACAGAAAATTCAACAAACATTCAATTTGCTTTTAACATTCTCCTCCTTCATGCTATTCTATTCATGTTTATACGGCTGGCGTTGTTGAATTATCAATACTGAGTGTATAAAGAGAAGATATCTGCATGTTAGTTACTTCCAGAAAGTTTTGAGAACCCTGTAAGCTATAGTGTCAAACCCAGTTTTATTGCATGCTGTACCAGCATTAGGGTTGCCCTCAAAGGGCTGGTTGTATCTGTAAGACTAGCCATCAAGAGCACCCCATCTCCCCTTACATCAGATGTACAGAGAGCCCCCCCCACTATCAGAAGTCAAGAGTCTCCCACCCTCCCTTACCTCACAGTGCACCTCCCTTACCTTATGCTGCTGCCAGGAAGAAGCTGGGGACAGGGATGGGAAGCCGAAAGTACAGGGTCTGGAGGAGAAATAGAGGAGGCCTGGAGTCAACTTCCAGAGTCTGCTGAATGCTGTGATCAGGGGAGGCAGAGACAAGGGGGTGTTGCGATTGTACAGAGAGGCGCAGGATCTGTAGGAGGAGTTCTGTCCTCCTCTATGCGGCCGACTGCCTAGTCAAGCTGGAGGTGGAGAAGAGGGGGGTGCAGCAGCTGCAGGAAAGGTGTGAGGGCCACATGAAATGGCCTGGTGGGCATTCGGCCCACAGGCCTTGTGTTTGACACATGTGCTTTAGGCCCTCTCAGTACCATGAATGTATTTGCCCACAAATTCTTAAAGGTGGCCACACAAAGAATATGCACAAACTATAAATATTCAGTGGGAATCCTAACAGCCCTAACAATAGTTTTTTGGTGGCAACTCCCATAAGAACTACCTGCACCAAAATTTAGGCAAGCATTTGCATCAGAGTCAGTAATATTACTGACACATACAGCAAATTAAGGTAGTTTTTACTACTGCCACTTTAAGAACCAGTCGCTTTGGACGTGAAAAATTCTTAAGGAATTATTGACAGTTCTTAAATGAGGAAACTGGCAGTAATATATACTAACTTTGGGCTGAAGTAAAGAGATATCTCAGATCAGGCCGTGTTTGAAGCTTGAAAGCTTCATTTATGTGACATATTCCCTCATAGTGCTTCATCTCCTGCCCCATTTAGCTGTTGATCGGGAAGCTAAATGTAAAAGGGGATACAGGTGATGTCATTACCCAAATATGGCAATGTCCGTGTTTGGGAATTTATTTGTAGGTGGCTGGGAAGAGTCTGATGGGGAACTGAGAGACTAGTTTCTCATCAGGACTACGTTACCACCAAATAGGTAGATTCAAGAGCCGGTATTGGACCGAATAGTGGCTTTGGATCCACCCACTGCCATGGGCTTTCAATAAAACGTATAGCAGACCTGATGGGAAACTAATCTCTACTACAAAACTTCTCAGCCATGCACCTGCCAGTGTGACAGGCACACTGGCCAGGGAGAGAGGGAAGGCGTAAATGCACTGATGCAGATGGTCAAGTGAGGGGTAAACAAGGATGTCCTCAAGTGGCCAATGTCCTCCTTATCAACCTTTGATGGCTACAGTTGTTACGAAGCCGTTGGCTGGACCACAGGGTGCTCAAGGTTGTAATGCTATACAATAAAAACCTGTGGCTTTGTGTAATAAAATAAGGCAGCCTTGATCCACCCATCAACTTGACAAATTTTCGGCAATTTGGGGCAATTTCTGGGCATTTTGCCAAGGCATGCCTGAAGAACCCAAATGTCACACCAAGGTGCCACAGCACCCTAGTTAAAAAAGGCTGATATAAATTACAGTGGAATCATTCTTCTTCTGTATGAGGGTTTTGGGAGGGGATAGACCCCTTCATTTTATTACATAGATAAGCAAAAGTCAGTCAGAATTAAATGAGGGATTTCAGTATACACTGAAAATTCCCTACAGAAAATGTGTAATAGAAAGATGAAGATCTCTCTGTAAATTATGTTGATGATCTCCAGCTTTATGACTTTTCACTAGTGAATTTAATGTATTTTAATGGGATTTTTAAAAGGTACTTGCATTAATTCCAGCTAATGTGCTTTACTTTTCGTTGTGATTAGGTCTGCCAACTTCTCTAACTGAACTACATCTTGATGGTAACAAAATTGCAAAAGTTGATGCTGACAGTTTCAATGGACTTAACAACCTTGCAAAGTAAGTACTGTACAGTAAATACAGTAATATAGCGTATTCCTTGCCAAGAAACAAATTCTTTTGATTTAATAACTATATAGTGTTGGGGATGAGCTTTGGGTTTGGGTCAGGTGCGACCAGAATCCAGCTTGTTCACAGCCTTAACCTCCGGCTGATGTTTTCTAAACAAGCAGGTGGAGATCCTGGGTAACGTCATTAACCATATTGATCATGACCAATTTTGACCAATAACATCTCCCAGCATCCCAGAGGCTGTTGTTTGCTTTACAGTGAACCAGGGATCCATAATTTGTAATGAGAGTAGAGATTGGGAAGTACCATCAATTGGCGAGTCATTGTGACAGAGGATCTTTGGGTACCACTCATTATGATTGACATAGATCAGCTTTGCTGGACAACATAATTGATGTTGGATTTACATCTAGTAAAGGGAAGGGGGAAGGGGGCAGCAGGCATGCAACCTTCCCTCCTCCTGAAGCATACCAGACTTCTAAAGGCAATTATGTTGTCCAGTGTTGTAGATTCACATCAAGATGAGTGACACTCAATGATGTTGACCTGTCAACACAACAACCTACCCTGCCGAACAGTCTTCCCCTCATGCCACTCCCAACACAATTGACATATCTCCAGACAGTAGAAGTAACAAATGCACTGATGATAGTACTACTGGAGCAACAACACTAGCACTACTGACACATAAAAGCTAGAGCCACTGCTGTGCTAGCATTAGTTAATGACAGTAGCATTATCATTATTATGGCAGTATTGCTAGTGTTACCACATTGGTAGCTCTAGCTCAGCAGTACGTTGTTTAGCGATGTACATCAATGTCAATCCTGACAACATTACAACCTGCTTTTCCCAACAATCTGTACCTGCTGCTACTCCAGTTGCAAATGACAGATCCCCACCTGTTTTTTTCTGATTTTTAACAAAATGGCTGGATGTCCTGAGTGATGTCACTGACCAAATATGGTAAGATAATTTTTGGTCAATGATGTCACCCAGCATCCTTAGACCCTTTGTGTACATACAGAAGCCAGATGGGAATGTGCCATTTGCAATTGGAGTAGTAGCAGGTGAAGATCATTGGGAACAGCAGGTCGCAATGTTGTCATGATTGATATTGATGTACATCGCTAAACAAAGTCATCAATGTTGGATGTACATCAGGTACATTGTTTATTTTTTATATAATAAAGGACTTTTTTCAAGTGTGGGTGCTTTCAGTTATGGCTTGCATTTTTTTCAATGAGTAACATGGAACACTATGTATCATCGCTAACCATTTGAGGATTTTACACATAGGCATAAATGTTAGTTTTAGGCTAAGGGTTAAATGATTTGTCTACATTTTAAAACAAACAAAAATTGACACCTATCTGCTGGGAATTTGTCATAGAATAAGGAGAAGTGATGGGAGCAAATTGTCTTGGAGGTCTGTTTATCTTTTCTTTTGGCAGGTCAGCAGGCATTGTTTATCATGATTGACAATAATCTACATTTTTGGATGACATGATTGATAATGGGTTAACTTGGTGGGACATTTTTGCTATGTACCCTTTACTCATTCACACCAGGGGGCGGCTATATCTAGGGGCCTCCATTTTTTTTAAAGGGGGTTCCAGATTTTAAAAGCCCTAGCCTGCAGACCCCTACTGTGATCAGCCCAGGGTTGTAGGGAAGGAGCCCTTGTCCTCATCAACATTGGGACAGGGTGCTCTGCTAGAAAATCCCCCCTGGCAAGTTACCCTCCCTATGTTGAGGCACGTGGCCTGTATGGTGCATGCTCATCCTACTTTTCCTTGACAGGCTACATACTCAGATAAGGTTTTAGTTTGGATCTTGGAGGTATCCCATGTTATTTTCTTTTTTTTGCATGGTGTACCCCTTTAAATCTATACCAGACCATTATCAAAGATATGGGTCTAGTATAACATTTTCAAAATATATAAAAAAATTATGGTTATTAATATTTCCTTGCAACCTTCATTTTAGCATAACAAATCTCCTAGGGAGCCCCCCACCCCAAGAGTCCTTCAAAATATGTATTATACCTTTAAAGGTCTGGTATACATTTTGGGGGTCCCTATGCTACCTTCCATAGGTCAAGTGGTTAAAGAAAAGAAAAAAAAAGCTGGCAGGGAAATATAATTTAGCATCAATTTAAATAGCATTTCCGCTATATTATAGTGTTTCTGTCATACAGGTATGATACTTCACAGGAAGGTTTAGGGCATCCCCAAGCAAATTTTTTGAAAAATTACCTTTTTAAATATTCCACTTTAAGCATTAATAAAATTGCTGCTCCCTGCATTAGTGCAACCCCCCCAATGCCTGGCCTTCATTGATCATTAGAATTTCATTGAAAATTTCAGATCTCATTGGTTTTGATGGGGTTTGGATTAAAATTCAAACCTTCAGCACATTTTGGCAAACCCACTGCAAACCAAACCCAGGTACATTCAGTTCATCCCTATTCACAAATTTATGTTTACACCTAAGTCTTATGAGCTGTAGATATAATAATTGTTAGCAGTGGTTCCCTAAGATCTGAAGTTATTTCAAGGGTTCCTTACTGTTAAAACGGTTGAGAAAGGCTGCCCCAGAGGCTGCAATAGTTGGAAGGCAAGCACTGACATACAACGCACTTTCTAAATACCTCATCCTTTCTCAGATAACACATTCCAGAGTGCACAAAAATGTGCTTTTGAGAATTTTTAAAGGAAGCACCTGAAATAATATAGCATACCTTGGGCATGTACAAATTCCAAAATGTTTTATGTGGTATACTGCTTTACTAGAGAGTTATTAGACTTCATTATACATCTGCTGTCATTATTAGTAGTAAATGTTGTTTTTCTTAAGTGGCAGTTAAAAATGATGATGATGAAGCCAATGAATCAGTAGAAAAATCTCGTGTAAAAACTAACGGTTGTATTTTACTTCTAGGCATTTCTCCTATTCCTTAAAGCATTGTACAAATGACATGATTTATTAAACACCATTAATAATGCATTAATGATATAAAGGCTGGGTGTATAGGTTGTAAGAAATTGCAACACCTAAACACCTGGCAACTAGTCCTTCATAACTTAAATAGCATTAAACAAATAATTAAAATATTCAATTGCAAAAGAACATTAGTAATAATTACAAGTTTTGCTGCAGGTGAAAGGAATCTTCATTCACGTACAGAGCTATGGTCACCAGTTGTAACTTCAGCATCCAACATGTGTGAGTGGAGTTGATTTACTAAAACTGGAGAGTGCAAAATCTGGCGCAGCTGTGCATGGTAGCCAATCAGCTTCTAACTTTAGCTTTTTAATTAAGCTTTGAAAAGGAAGGAAGCTTATTAGTTTCTGTGAAGAGCTGCACCAGATTTAGCACTCTCCCATTTTAGTAAATCAACCTCAGTGTTTCACATGCCTGCATCCATTCCACACACTGTGGCCCCACCTGCTGGATGCTATCTCAATAGTGTGTCTATGGAGCTGTCTGCCAATAGCAAGCAAACCTGTCCACCAAATCAGTAAATGCACACATGCAGATGCATTGGGCTCAATTTTCGAGTACACATATAAATTGTTTACTTAGCATAGAAAATGTTAATTTAGCTTAGAGAATTGAGTGAAGCTTTGTTAATTTCTACCATCAAACCATGCACAAAGCAAATCCCTGTTTGACTTTGTTAAGGGAGCATTCACTTTACTAAGCCTCCTTTAATAAATCATACCAATTAGCAAGCCCGGACTAGGACAAAAATAGGCCCAGGATTTAGACTGAGCAGCCCAAGCCCGGGGACCCTTTCCTCGGTGGAGGAACGCCAAGTTGACCTTTGCAACCCTGTAGTTCTGCCACTAGTGTCAGTAGGCTTTTATTTTTTTTAGAATTTTATATTTTATTACCCCCATTGGGGGGCTTTGGTGAGAGAAAGAAAGAAAGAAAGAAAGAAAGAGAAAGAGAAAGAAAGAAAGAAAGAAAGAAAGAAAGAAAGAAGAAAGAAAGAAAGGAGAGAAGACCCAAGACTGCCAGGGTGGGGCAGACATAGGAGGAGAGGGCAGGAGGAGAGCTTTCTCTCTCCTCTCCTGTCTGTGGTGGTGGTGGTGGTGAGGAAAGAAACTGTCAGCACTGACTATGGGCTGTGGGAAAGATACTCTCTCAGCTCAGAGCCACAAGGGAACAGTCTATCCTGACAGATTCCCCACAGCAGCCCCCCTATCCAAGCGGCCCCATCCCACTGGGCAAATGCCCGGTGTGCCCTATGGCCAGTCCAGGCCTGACGATTAGATCTGGCTATGTCAGCAGGTGGTGTTGTAAAAGGTACAAATAGATAAACAATAGCAAAACAAACCAGCAGTTAGTAAACACCAGAAGCCAGACCTAGACAGGTGCCAGTAGAACTATATGTAAATTTCTATTGCCAGACATACAGCAAACATACAGTACCTTTTGTGATTCACACCTTCTTAGATAAGGAAACAGAAACAATTGAGTGCTGTCTATGATGCTTTTTTTATTTGCACTAGCATCCAAATTTTCAGGAGAAGCTTTTGGGAAGTACCCCCTTCTTCTAGATCCAAGCAGTACTAATACAGAAGGTTTTGGCAGAATGTTAAGTAAGAAAAACAGAAAGCTACAGCACCTCAAACACATGAACACACATATGAAAAATTAACTAATACCAACATGGTGTGCTGCCCCTTTACATAAAGTGCAATACTTAATTTGCAAAGTAAACAAGTGAATAAAAACAATCAAAAAACATTAGAATTCATGCATAACCATAGAAAATTTGTCAAAATGCAGCAGGAGTGACAAGAGCAAGTAATTGGCTGTAGAGGGCATAATAATCTGGCAAACATAAAGTCCAAAGGCACAACTTAAATTAGTAGTTCATGGGAGGAACAAAGAGTTCAAGGTTTACAAAAAACAAGCTATAAGGCAAGATTGTCTAATGGATCAGAGAAGGAGCTGCCCAGCATCTCAAGTGGTTCAGCAACTTCCAGCCACAGCAGAGGTCCAGAGTTTAGATCCAAGGCCTGACAGCTTCATTGTTACCTGTTTCTGTTAGGCTAAGCAAATATTGTGTATCCTTAAAGTGTTACTAAACCCAGGACCCTGCATTCACTATATCTGGTCTCCCACAGTACACACAACATGGAAATGCAATTATTTTAGTAAATATAAACTGCTAAATACCTTTTTTTTATCAGCAGTTAGAGTGGTCTTGTGACATCTATCGGTGTTTAGCTGAGCACTGGTTAAAGTTTGTAGGAGGAGTTTTCTTTCTGCTCTAGGAGGATGCATAACCCCTGACCTCTATCTGGACAGTGCTGATTGGCCCTGTACTAATCACATGCACTCTCCCCCCCAAGAAAAAACCCTCTCTAGCAATACACACTAAACAGAGCATGTGCAGAGTGTCACCACACCATATGTCTTATCAGGAGATAAGAGGGGGACACTGGAAGAAGGAAAGGATCAGAGAAGACAGGATCAAACAGCCTTTTTACACAATGCAGGAGATTAACCCCTTAGGTTCCACAGTCAGTATAACAAGCATGTTTTACTGCATATACAGACTGATTTTACTGTTGTGGGTTTAGTAACACTTTAAGCCTCCCTATGGCAACATTTTATAGTGTTTAGGCCCATGTTTTTTGATTTTTCATTGTATACAATTGTATTTTCATTGCACACATTTTATTAGTTACAATTGTTTATATAGCACTGACAATATACTCAATGCTATACATATATTCTACATTCACATCAGCCCCCGCCCTCAAGGAGCTTACATTCTTTCATTGTTCAACATTGCTTCTTATAGTTTCAGCAAGAGGTTCAATTGATAGGTTAAAAATTAGTAGCGACAATGGGCATCCTTGTCTGGTACCATTCGTAATTAGGAATGGTTTGGATAGCATGTTAGATACATAGACTTGGGCAAAAGGATTTGAGTGAAGTGCTGAAATAGCATTAATAATTGTTCCTGAAAATCCAAATTTATGCAGTACTTGGAACATGTATGTCCAGTGTATCCTATCAAAAGCCTTTTCGGCGTCCAGAGCAAGTAATAAGGAGGGAATTTTATGTGAATCTGCGTAATGATTTATGTTGATTAGTCTCCGGGTTGCGTCAGATGTTTGTCTACCTTTAGTAAAGCCTAACTGATCAGGCTTGATCAAATCTGGGAGTATATTGGCCAGTCTGCACTCTATAATATTAGCGTAGATCTTAATATCATTACTTTATAAAGAAATAGGCCTGAAATTTTGTGGGTTATCTGGATCTTTATTTGATTTGGGGATTGTTACAATTAATGCTTGTAGCATTCCGGAAGGTAATGAGGCGGAAGAAAACACATCAGTGTATAGTTGGTTTAGATGAGGACTCAGGGTATTTTGAAAATTTTATAGTATTTGCTGAAAAATCCATCTGTTCCCAGACTTTTGCCATTGGGTAGTTTTTCTATTGTTCTGTTTATTTCATTTATTGTGATAGGGGATTTTAAGGTACTGAGTTGTGATTTCGAAAGAGTGGGTAAGCGAATTTGTGATAAAAATGCTTGTATGTTTTCCATAGAAGGTTGGGGAATGTATTTGTCTTGATTTAAGTTATAAAGCAAATCATAGTAACTAGCAAATGAATTTGCTATTTCTTGAGGATTAGTGATTTTAATTTTATCTTTTGGGTTGATAAGATATGGTATTTTAGTTCTAGTATGCAGGGATTTAATTTTATTCCCTAGGTATTTTCCTGCTTTGTTTCCATTAGAGTAGTAGTTGAGTTTTAATCTTTGCATATTGGTACAATAGTAAAGAGAGTAATTTGTTTCTTAGTCTAGAGAGTGTATTTGAGGTAGTTTGATCAATTTGAGTTTTATTTAGCATTTCTAGGTTGCGAATATCCTGTAGTAAGTCATTAAGCTGTTTATTTCTTTGCTTTTTAGCTTTAACGCACATTTGTAAAATTATATCACATATATATGCTTTGTGAGCGCACCAAAGGGTGCCAGAGTTTGATACAGATTGTGAATTTATATGGCAGAACTCCTCAAGATGTTTTTCCACTATCGAGTAATTGTTGGGGTTTTTATAATGGACGAATGTACGAGGCAGAGGTTGTGTGGTTTCAATAAGTGGTTATTCGAAATAGCAATTGAAACCTGCGTGCGGTCTGACCACGTAGTATTGCTTATGGTTGATGTAGTAACATTTTGCAGTAGCCATTTACCTACCAATATAAGGTCAATTCTCGAATAAGATTGGTGTCTAGCCGAAAAAAAATGTAATCTCTTTCACCTGCATCTTGACACCTCCAAACGTCATAGACATCTTAATTTATTATACAGGGGTATAGGGTTGGGGTAGTCTTTTTTTTGAGATTTTGTTGAGTCTAGGTTTCTGTCAACTATGAGGTTGAAGTCACCACATAGTATAAGGGAACCAGAATGATTTTTGGAGATTAGTTTGAAGAACTTGGTGAAGTATCTTTTTTGATGAGTATTAGGTGCATATGAATTTACAATAGTGTAATCTGTTTTATCTATAGTACATATAAGAATCAGGTACTGGCCTTTGGAGTCGGAGATATTTTTATGAAACACAAAGTTTAGTGTATCTCTAATAGCAGTGAGTGCTTCTCTTTTTTTTTTCAGAGGCATTGGCAGTATAGACATGTGGAGACTTTTTGTGAGAGCATTTAGGAGGGTCCGAATCTACGAAATGAGTCTCTTGAACACAGAGTATATCACATTTATCTTTAAATGCCTGTTTCCACATGTTTGTACGTTTGGCTGGATGATTGAAGCCATTGACATTAATAGAGATAATTTTTATACCCATTCAATAGATATATTTACCGATATTAATCGGACTTAACCAAGTGGTCCCTAAAGTGATAATACATTTTTATGCGCATGTCAGCTAAACCATTTAGACTATCAGGAATTACACTATAGTAGAAAAAAAAGGACAAATATAAACAAATACAGATAACTGAACAGATAACAAATAAGTAAAAAATAGAATCTTAGCCAAGATCAGAACTTAATAAAAATTGTGTAGTACTTTTGGGGCAAAAACAAAACAAGCAATCTGGCCATTGGCAGGCATACTTACAGGTAATATGTTCAGTAAGGGTAGTACCCTCAGTGCCTTGTTTAAACATGTGAAATTACATTTAACCGGAGTCCATTAGATAAGATTGCAAATATACAGTCAATGTTTAGTTTGGCGTTTGTGAGTGACCAGGTTCCACTCTGGAGACGCTCGGGTGGCAGTAGAATGTTGTGGGTCACTTTCTGGGAGAATGTCCCACTCTCTAAGACATTTCAGACCTTCCTCTAGGCTGTTGATTGTGATGATTGAGTCATTTCTGGTGGCGATCAATTTTTTGTTATTGGGAGGATATTTTTCCTGAGTTGCATGGTGCACTTAGATACATCTGAGAAAAGCTATAAAGAGTAGAATTGTGCAGGCAAATTTTGGGGTTTGTGCGCAATTTCCATGATTTTTTCTTTGACATGAAAAAAATTAATTCTCATCAAGACATCTTGAGGTATTTTAGCTGGCAGATAGGAAAGTTTTGGAAGGCAAAGTATTCTATTGATGGTCAGATATGTGTTTGTAGCATCAGGTAGGAGGGCATGAAAGAGCTCTTAGATATATGCTCTCAATTGGTCAGGTTATAAAGATTCTGGAATACCTCTTATTTAAATGTTGTTACGACATGATCTATCCTCCAGACCTGTGACTTTATTTTTGAGCCATTCAATTTCTTCCTCCTTTTCATTGTGGGCATCTACTAGGGTGTTAATGGAAGTGGCTTGTTCTCCCATTTTTTGTTTCAACATGGTCAGCTCTGTCGCCAAGATCATTAATCTCTGATTTGATTTATTGCATAGAGTTAATGATATCTGATTGTATGGATGATCTTAATGAAAGGAACTTATCCTTCATTAATGTATCAGAAATAGGCTGACTAGTAGTAGGAAAATTAGTCATTGGATCTGAGAAATTACTTGCAGAATGTTAAGTATTAGTGTGAGAATCTGTTACAGCATGCTGTGGGTTAATATCTGTCATTCTAGGTTTAGATTTTGCTGGGCTCTCAATAGAGGAAGTAGAGAAAGCAGGGGAGACAGGCTGCGTTAAGATAGAGCTGTTTTTCTGCTTAACAGGTGTCCCAAGAGAAGCTGCAGAGACTTGCCTGTGTGCTGAGTGAGAGTAGGAGGTTCCTGAGCTGCTGCTGCCATGTTGGGGATTGTTGTGATCCGGCCGAGGGGGAAACTCTGTTAATGTGAGAAGTGTCCTCTCAACTTTCCTCTTCTTTGTCATCTCCCTGAGGGTCACTGGGCTGTTGCCTCTCCTCTGGTCGCTTTTGGAGTTTCAGGTCCACTGCTGCTGTGTGCTGGCACTGTGAGCACAGCAGAGCTGTGTGGTTATGCAGCCATTCAGCTTCCGCTCCAGCCATGCCCCGCAAGTTTAAATTTTATATGGCCAAGTTACAACAACTGATGTTTTACAATGTGGCTTTATGGTATTTATATAGTGCCAAGTCACCCATGAGGCCATTTGAAGCAGCTGCTAGAACGATGAAAGATTATGTCTAATAATATTTTTTTTCATTATTATGAGATGAGTGCGTGTTATGTTTATTTTTGTAGCTTTGATGAATGTGCAGTGGCGTTGTCCCTAAAATATCTTGCATGTTTTTATATGATTTATTTCCCAAGAAATAAAAGGATCTTGGGCTCCTACATCAGTTTTTGGGCTGGCAATCCTTTCTGTATTTCCATGTTTTGAGCTAATGTTGTTACATAGTTAGTTTGGCTGAAAAAAGACAAAAGTCCATCCAGTTCAACCACAAAAAAAAAAAAAAAAAAAAGTTACAATCCTACACTCACAGTTGATCCAGAGGAAGGCAAAAAACCCATCAAAGCATGATCCAATTTGCTTCTGCAGGGGACAAAATTCCTTCCTGATCCTCCGAGAGGCAATCGGATGTTCCCTGGATAAACTTTACCTATAAATAGTAACCAGTTATATTCTGTATATCCTAGAAAGAATCCAGGCCTTTTTTAAAGCAATCCACTGAGCTGGCCATAACAACTCTTGAGGGAGTCTATTCAACACATTTTCACAGCTCTTACTGTGAAGAAACCTTTCCGTGTTTGAAGATTAAATTTCTTTTCCTCCAGACTTAAAGTGTGCCCCCTTGTTCTCTGTGATGACCTCAGGGTGAATAACTCTACACCGAGTTCACTATATGAACCACTGATGTATTTATACGTGTTGATCATATCCCTGCTTAATCTCTTAATCTTAAAAGAGAATAAATTCAGTGCCTCTAATCTTTCCTCATAGTTGAGCTCCTCCATGCCTCTTATCAGTTTGGTTGCCCTTCTCTGTACTTTCTTCAGTTCCCCAATGTTCTTTTTGTGAATTGGTGCCCAAAATTGAACTGCATGTTCCAGATGAGGTAATACTAATGATTTGTACAGGGGTAATATGATATCTCTCTCTCTGGAGTCTATACCTCTTTTAATACAAGAGAGGATTTTGCTCACTTTAGAAACCGCAGCTTGGCATTGCATGCCATTATCAAGCTTGTGATCTACCAGAACTCCCAGATCCTTCTCCACCATTGATTCTCCTAGTTGTAACCCCCCTAGTATGTATGATGCATGCATATTCTTAGCTCCCAAGTGCATAACTTTACATTTATCAACATTAAACCTCACTTGTCACATAGTTGCTCAATTAAACAGTGCATTGAGGTCGGCTTGTAAGTTGGAGAACTTAGTTGTGTGCAGGGGTGGACTGACAACTCATGGGGCCCCCGGGCAATAGGGGATCATGGGGCCCCTGTGTCCTTGCCCAAACTCAAAAAAGCCTATGAAAAAGGTACCAGGGGCATCCCATGGGGCCCCCTACTGACCCTGGGCTCTCAGGCAGTGCCCGAGTTTCCAAATGGTCAGTCCGCCCCTGGTTGTGTGTAAGTTGTGTGTCAATTGAGGGAAGCCTTGCTGTGTGAGATCCTTCTCACTAGAGCTGTTGAGCTTGTTTAAATATGTTGTCCTGGAGAGCACTGCAAGAAACTGCACTTTTAACAGGCTCAGCATCATTGAGCTGGCTGCCTGTGTGTGTTTGTGTGGGCACACAAACACAGACAGAGGGGAGTGGAAAGAATGGCTGTTTTGGATAGCATCTGTCGCCAACACAGCCCATTATCATCAGCATGTGCTACCTGAAGCCTGCTATATATTTACATTTTTGCAATGCTCTCAAGCACTGTGTATAATATACCCTCCACACTGCTCTGACAGAATAAAACTGTGCAATGCATTAAGTTGCTTTGTTTGTTTGGGATTCCTTTGAGGACATCCATGAGATCATGGTGAAAGTAAAGGGGGGTTGGTCTTTTTTTCCCCATCAAACACTAACCCTGTATTAAAACATGCCTACACATATCTTGTACAATAATAAAAAAAATACAAAAAAAGTATAATATCTCTATTTGTGAATTTTTTTTCTTGTTTGTACATATATACAAATGATACAATGTTTGTCATTATGGTTGCAGATTGGGGTTGGGCTACAACAATATCATTACCGTGGAAAATGGGTCCATTTCAAATGTACCTCATTTACGGGAGCTACATTTAGATCACAACAGTCTGACACAGGTGCCTGGTGGACTCAATGAGCACAAATACATCCAGGTAGAGTATACGTTTTCTTCTCTAATTTTTTATTATAATTGAAATTCTCAGTTTCTGCTGTTCCCAATCATAATGCACAAAACAGTTTTTATATACCTTGTTACTTCTTGAAGATTTAGCACTCTTTAAACTTAGTGATGTCATTGAGTCTGCTTCATATCCTTCACTTGCAGCACCAATGGAAGGAGTTAGTAAGGTACCCTATTTCTTTTTCTGCTGACATGTATTCATAGCATTATTCTAGCAACATATGTATGATGCTAGAATACAGTGTCATTCACTAAGAGCATTACTGGGTAAGTGGCATTATCATATAGCCACCACCACATGTAATGCCTTTTTGTAATTAGTAATGATAAGAACATCCCATTCCACAGGACAATTGGGTAATAACTGTGTGGCACACTAGCTGACGAGCAAAAAAAGAGTTGCTACACTGTCACCAAGAGGGTATCCACATCAGTAAACTGATGAGGTTGGAGTTTGCCTTAAAACATATTTGTTTATATTATTTGAGGTTAGATATTATTGCTTAGAATTATTTAAAAGCAATATGACCATATGATATTCTAGTGCAGATAGGAGGACTGCAGGTATTTTATTTATATTTTCACTAAACATCAAAAATATTTGTTTTTAGTATTGTATAGTAATTGTATATATTGCATATTGAATGATAGTGAGAAATCTTACATTTCAGGAAATACACACTACTTTTATTTTATTTCAGGTACATATATCGCACTATCAATTTATGTAGCGCTTTTACATATATATTGTACATTTACATCAGTCCCTAACCCTTAAGGAGTGTACAATCTAAGGTCCCTTACTCACTTTCATACATACATATACTATAGCCAATTTAGACAGGAGCCAATTAACCTAACAACATGTCTTTGAAGTGTGGGACAAAACCGGAGTACCCGGAGAAAACATACAACTCCATGCAGGTAGTACTGTGGTTGGGATTCAAACCAAACGACCCTAGGAAGGAGTACTAACCCCTTAGACACTGTGCTGTCCCACACTAAGCCAGAGTTCACTGCAATCTGATAGTCTGTTTTGATGGAAACCCAGTTTGCTCAAGTGGACTGTGAAGTGACACAAGGGACCACTTACCGGTTAATGCCAACTATTACAGAGTGTGGAATAGCCACTGAATCAAGAAGATAACATATATGACTGGTTTGAGACTTCCTAGCAAAAACTAATGCTTGCTATTCACTGTATAAGGAATGGATACAATACTAGTTTGAGGCTTCCAAGCAAATAAGAATGCACTCTGTGAACTGTATTAGACATAGATATAATATTGTCATGGCCATAATATTTGTGAAAAAGTTAGAATTGTGCATTTATCTGTGACCATCAGAGGTCCCCACAATCTTTTCAGAAAGTAAAACAGAGGGGGTGAATCTTCCCAGTGGGGACACAAATAGCAGACTCATTTTAGATCTCAGGTTCAGTTTGTCCAGCTGTAGACAGGTACCCACTACATTAATAAGGACTGAAATGTGTCCTTAAGCCTATGAGTAATGTCAGCAAACTGAAGCTCCTCAAGACAACTAATTTAAAAAGTACAGATTAGAGTCCTCCTTATCCCCACCTCAGTTCACAGAGGAAGCTGCAACTGTGAGCAAATCAGAGACAGACTCTGAAGGAGAATGTGAAAAAGATTGCTTGCATCCCTTGCATTCTGAGTCAGCTATCATGGAGATGATTGTTGCTATGAAATTGGGGCAAAAATGCTGCAAGCTACCCCAAAGCTGGATTGAGAGCCCATGAGGCCCATAGGACTGCTGCCTCTGTGTTTATGATGGCCTCAATATCTGTCTTTTGAGCTTGTAAGACAGCATGGAGCACATGGCTTATTATTGCTTGGCTTGTTACATGGAGCACATGGCTTGTTACATTGGTGCAGCTTAGCAGAGGGTGGGAAGGTTGAGAGGGTGCATGCTTGCATGTAAAAGTGGTGTATGCATGTGAAATGCAGCAAGGGAGGTCTGTGCAAACTTAGCTAGGCACCAATTTCATGGAGACTCAGAAGAGGGGACCCCAGATATCAAATTAGAAAATGACACAGTGCCTTATTTCAGCCAGTGGCTTGTGGCCATAAATTGTCATGGCCAGAGCTCTGGTGCTGACCCTTGTGGGAATGCAACCAGAGCAATAGTATCAAGTACAAACTATGCATGACACTTAACTTACCAAAACAGTGGTTCAGAAGATGTTCTGTGGCCCCTACAATGAGGACAAGCATAAGAGTGCCATGCAGGTTCCAGGGGAACACACTCCATCCAACAAATCTTCATATCCTCCACTGAACATACTCCCTAAAGAGTGTACTGCGATCCTGGGCCTGTAAAGTGCTCTCTGGCTAACTTACACAGTATAATAGGTGCTGTGGAAAGACTGCGCAGCATAGCCCAGTGCCCTAGGGTCATCAAAAAGGCTTTTCCTGCATCTTTGACATACTGGTGCCTTCATATGGCCTCCAAGGCTATATCAAGGATCAGCTGATCCTGAAAACTGCATATCCTAGCTCTCTGACTCTACAGTAAATAGAGAATATTTATTGAATTACAAAAGGATTTTGATAGAAATATTTAAAGTTTTGCTTCTCTCAGACAGAGGGACACCAGCAAAAAAACTGGAGCATAATGGGAACTGGAGTATGCCGGAGGGGCTATATCTAGCTGAACAGTTTTGTTTGCTAGTGTTCAATCTCCTCTAGGCAGCAGGCACATTCTTATATCAGAACTAACCTTGTGCACATCAAAAAATGATCAAGAAAAACAATTTTAACATCTGTTACAGCAAAAAAAGATATTAAAGGTTAACAAAAAGTGGAAATAACTGTGCTTGGAGTGGGGAATTAACTTGTCTTACAGAACACGTACAGTATACTAACATAAATGACAATTGAATTTTTCAGGTAGTGTACCTCCACAACAACAAAATTGCTGCTGTCTCAACAAGTGATTTCTGCCCCACTGGATACAACACAAAGAAGGCTTCATATACAGGCATTAGCCTCTTCAGCAATCCTGTCCAGTACTGGGAAATCCAGCCAGCCACATTCCGATGTGTTTATGAACGTTCTGCTATTCAAATTGGAAACTACAAGTAAAAATGATTTGCTGGCCAATGTATTTTATTTCAATTAAATGTTCCTTTGTTTGTCTGCATATTTGTTTCAAAAAACCTGCGCAACAAATAAAAAGTCAAATACTGGAAATGGCCCCAATAATAATTTCATATTTTTCATGAAACATTGGCTTCTTGGATTGAAAAAAGGGGGTTTGCTAGTGATGCAGTTCATGATGCATACCCATTGTATGAAGGCAATCGATACTGCATTAAATATGGACTTTTATTAAAACAATATTGGTACAATATTAAGGAATTTCATATTAAGTATAAACACAGAGAAACAATGCATGCGTTAGTGAATCAAGTGTGAAGCTCTTGCACAAAAAAAGAGATTTTTTTTTAATAATGTTTAGCATTCAACCACTAAAACATTGCTAATGTTGGTCTTGAATAAAAACAGATGTAGTCAGAGTTAAGGTTTGTTCTATCTACTTTGCCTTTTAGGATAATTTAATAAAGTGTGTAAAATGTACTCCAATTCCATGAACATTTTCTTTAAAGATCTTCTTTTCTAAAACTGATTAGTCTTTTGGCATCAGCACAGACTTGTTGAGCTTACACCTTTTATTAAGTTCAGTGTGCTGAGACATCCTGCAACTCTTTTTAAAATAACTGAATCTATATCTGTATATTCATAATTCAGAAGAGGCAGAATTAGCATACGTAGCATAATGGTTAGTGATTTGGTTTTTATTCAGCTAAGGATAAGTCCTCCAAATCAAATATTATACAATTATTCTCATGGGTGAAGTCTTTCCTCTTTAGATCTTACTATTGTAGCATTCATATTTATTCCCCTGCCAAGTTCATTACACACTGGGCACACTCTTACCACTGAATTATTCATTTATTAGTTAGTTTATATAATTGAACAGGATCACAGTCCCTCAGTCAGATTTGTAATGACTATAATAAAGCAAAGATAGATTCTGGATGAGTGTAAGAACCCTTAAGAGATGTAAGAAGCCAATGGATGGTTCAAGCCAGTGGTATCCACCTCAAACCCCCCACATTTCCATTTAGTATTTCCGTAGTGATATATTAATAGAACAAATACACAATACACAAGCCAGTGAATTCCAGATGGATTCTAACTGCAATCAGCCTTTAATATCCACAAGAAAAAAAAGAAATCATACATTGGCCACACATGGGGGGGGGGGGGTTCCAGTGATTATCTTAAGAGACCAATATCACATGATTTAAAGTCAGCAAGCTAGAATAATTTGGTTATTTCATATTGTTTTCTGTAGATGGTGCAATGGCAAGCTAACGCCACGCCTTAGTGCTAATGGAGAGAGTGTCAGGCAGGACAGCACAACCGATGTGCATGCCAGTTCCTCTGAATAGGTCATTGAGAAAATAGATCCCTTTAATTCTACCTGTCTGAATTTTAAAAATTCTGATAAACAGGCTAAGCATTTTTTGATCTACAATAACATGCCATCATTTTTTTTTATATTAGTACATAAAGCCACATTCATAATGTATCCTTATATACTTCCTTACATAAAGGATGATTTAGTTCCAAAAGTACACATGAAATAGTTCATGTATACATGTCCTTCAGTTGTGTAGTGTTCTATATAACCTAACTAGCTATTGTTCTCATTATACATATTGCAGTTTAGAAAGCTTATATTAAAACTACAAATTAAATAATTTGCACCTGCAATGAAAACCACTGTCCACTATGCAAAACTCAACATCGTGCTGATGGCTAATATGAACCACTGATATTCATTTTTACGTTTTTCATAGGACTTGTGGATTGGATTTAGTTATGACACTAAATCCATGGGATGTTTGGCTATTCTACTGGTTTTCAGTGTATATTAATGTTGTTCAAAGTCATAGTCAGTTACAGATATACTGTACATGTCTGTTAGATGTATGTGTGTTACAGTACAGTATTGTATTGTAAGTGGAACTGTTTAGTTTTTAATAAGGAATAATTTGTAAAGTGCATTAAAATGTCAAAAGCTCACACATGTTGAATTTTGTAAATGATCCGTGTGATGTCTTTTTTGGTACAGTGTATTATTGTGTTCTTGTTGACACTATGCAGATCAAAATTTTGCAATGATATATAATTTTCTATATGCACACCAGTTGTTTAAAGGAAATGTTTTATGAGAGAAATATCTGTGCCATGTTATTAATCACCTTTAAAGCATACTAGTTTTTTGGCTGTTATGATGACATTATGATTTAATCATTTACAGGCCCATTTAAGTATGGAGCCAGCAGAGCTGGAATTAACAACTATTAGAGGATTTTCTCAGATTTGTTGTGTTCTGGCGAATCAAACCCTGCAAACCATTTGCATGACTTATTATCCACCACAGACCACTTTGAACCATTTGCATTTACTCCATAATTCCATACTTCGTTTTGAAGTATGGTCCTCATCTCACAAATACTGGGTAAGAGTGTGGGTTCTAAACCCTTCTGGTCGTATATACATGGTAAGGTACCCGATACTAAGGGTGTGTTGCATCATCGAGACCTAACATAGAAATTTACCCAAAGGTATTGTCATGGCACATCCTACAAATAAGAGTTTATATCATATGTTCAAATATAAAATGTGATCTCCTGTTGTGTGACTCATCCATTTTAGGATGGACAACAGGCATTTTCCACAACTAGTAGGGGAACTTGAAAGGGGCCTAAAAGTCCTTTCTACAAGCTTACAATTAGATTACATCACTTGCTGATCAATCCTGTTGGATCAAAATCTGGATTCAGACAAACCTCTTCACTTGACCTTACTCACAGCATATATACATATATATAATTCAAACAGAAACTTATATATGAAATTTGTAATGTAGTAATTTTCTGTTCTACCTAGCAACCAACTAGTTTCCTTATTCCTAATCTCATTTCTGCAGTCCAGAAAATAAAACAAGGTTTCTGACTGGTTGCTATTCGAAAATTTCCTATTAGCATACTTTTCTTTATTTAGGACAAAGGCACAGGTGAGTACATAAAACAGGAAGAAGAGGAGACATTCAATACCAAGCCACAGACGCAGCTTGGGTAAATTAAGTATACGTTATATCCCATTCATGGGCTGCAGAATTATGACAGAGAACGGCAAAAGCAATGATTAAAGACAAGGTAACAATTAACCAATCCAGTGACCCACACTCTGCTGGGCATCTCAGGATTGGCATAATACATGTCCAGAGAGGTAAGTGTTAAAGAGAAAGTAGGCAGAAAGGGGGGATGATGAGCTAAGAAACACTAGGACAAAGAAGATAAAGGAATAGTGTGGTGTGGTGGAGCTCTGGTCATGTCATGGAATCTCTACAGTGTGGTATACCTGTGGAAGTTCTTGATGAGTATGGCATTCCAGATGGCCTATCAGGTAGCATACTTTTCATAGCTTAATCCTTAGTAAATAAAATTGGAGTCAGTATACCCAATAACTGGGCCATTAGAATTATTAGAAGTACCAGTAATAGCTGTGATGGAGAAGCCACACTCACGAGAATAAACTAAATGGTACTCAACATTTCATTAATGTGCTGGAGTTTAACAGATGTGGCTATTCTTTGCTTTTGAAAAAAGCCTCTCTTGTTTACCCTCCTTGATCATAAATAATGCAATAAACATCAAAAAACTATATCCTGTAAATGTGATGTATACCATTTCATATAATTACATAGAAAAAAAAAGCATCGAGTGGCTTATGGACTTATAAAAATTGGACAGACTAACCATGTTTGCCCATTGTGCCAATCAGATGGCTATCACCCTTTATTCTCACAGCTACTGTAGAAAAATTACATGGAATTGCTATAGGCAGCAGATACACTTTTCTTTGGTCCAGTTAACATATATCAAAACCCATAAATGCAGTGTTGTAGAGAGGCTTTTTTTTTGTATTAAAGCAGCCATAACAACCTGACCTAGTATAGATAAACTCCTAACAACTGAAAACAAGCAGATTTTTCTGCATTAAAGGTGTGAAATTTCTGAAAACACGTAAAAGTATACTATTAACAAAAGTGTGTGTACATATGTTCTGTGTGAATGGGACAAAAAAAAAAGTTATTAGGCCATTTCCTGTGCTGGTCGAATGTTTTTCATTGGTTTAAAAAAAGAGAATTTGCTGACATTAAATGTCTTCTAGTTTCCAAATTCTATATTTTTATTTTAACTCATTTAAACATTCAACCAACACAGAAAATAGCCTAACAACATTATCACAACATTATCATTTTTTTGTTCCATTTGCACAGAAAAAATGTACATGCAATTTCACTGGGCAAATTTCTATTCAGACTTTTTATAAAAGCACATAAAAATGTGCATATTAAATGAAAAAAAATATTATTTGGACTACAATCACATAGTCTGTTTTAGTGCAAACATTCTTTTAAAATATTCTGATTTATAAATACCGGTATATTTATTTAGAATGTTCCTGTTGTCTATAATGCTTTGCGGTGATGTAAAGTTAGGAAAAGGACAGTGTCTTTATATGCTAGTATGAACAGTTAGACACCCATAGCAACATTCTACTCACCTGCCATTGTGTTTGACAAAAATATGGACATTGCTCACTCAAAATCTGGATTTTACATTCTTCTTTTGAAAATTAGGTATTTGCATATAAGGCGTTAAAGTGTTACTAAACCCTGGATCCTGCATTCACTATATCTGGTCTCCCACGGTGCACAGAACATGGAAATGCAATTATTGTAGTAAATATACAGTAAACTGCTAAATTCCTTTTCTCATTAGCAGTTAGAGCAGTCTTGTGACTTTTATGAGTGTTCAACAGAGCACTGGTTAACGCTTGTAGGAGGAGTTTTCTTTCTGCTCTGGGAGGATGCAGAACCCCTGACCTCTGTCTGGACAGCTCTGATTGGCCCTGTGCTGATCACATGCACCCTCCCAAGAAGAAAAAACAAATGTTCTAGCAATACACACCAAACTGAGCATCTGCAGAGTGCCTCCACAAGATATGTCTTATCAGGAAATAAGAGGGGGGCACTAGAAGAAGGAAAGGATCAGAGAAGTCAGGATCAAGCAGCATTTTTACACAATGCAGAGGATTCACCCCTTAGGTTCCACAGTGAGTATATCAAGCATGCTTTACTGCATATACAGAGTAATTTTACTCTGTGGGTTTAGTAACACTTTAATGATGTTATATGATTTAAAATTGTGTTTTTGATTAAGAATCTCACATAATAGCCAAGATCTAGATTTTTTTATTGCTTCTAAGTACTTCAGATCACACTTAACTCATGGAGTTGTGATAAGGGCTGTCCACTAAACATGTTACATGGCAGAACATATGTCCAATTAATTTTGTATGATTGCAATATGCTGCAGACAGCTGTGTCCATCTGTTCCCTGGTCATTCATCATAGAGCAGATAGTGTCACAGTCTTAAAGTTTTGGCTTGAAAAATACATGGCAAAAGTACACATTAAGGATCAGTTCTTGGCAGTTCTGCCATATATTCTATAAAGAGGATCTCTGGGGAATAAATAATTTGTTAGATTAGAGAATTAAAATGCTAAACTTTATGCTAGACTTTACTGTTTTTATTCATATAAATCAACTGCTGATTCAATAAAGTCGAGTGCTCACTCACGATTCTAGAGTATACCATCTGAGCATTTACATCTCAAGAGTCTGAAGCATTTGATTAACATGTTTGCTTTGCCAAAAACCCTCTCTAAGAATGAGAAAGGATATATGGTCAAGCTTGACAAGCTAGTAATCAACTTTCTTGCTATACCTTAGCAATTTGAGCTAGAAAGCATTTTCCTATTTAGAGGAGTCTAGAAAGGATAGTCAAAAACACAGATATGGTCATAATGTATATATGTTATTTAATATGTAGAGCTGATCATGCTATCCCAAACATGTGTGGATTATGAAGATCGTTCTTACAAGCGCTGCCTTTTTTCAGAATGTTGATACAGCATGAAAACAACAATGTTTGCTGGAGAATGTATCCTTTTTGCTTTATATGCAGAGTTAAGCCACCCATACACGTATAGAATATCAGCCGAAAATTTAATTTTTTTAAAAAATCGTTCAACATTTGTGCCGTTAGTGGACTCAACTGTACAGCTGATTTCGATAGTAGGTCCGGCTAATGTAGATGGATCTGAAGCGAAAACGTTAATTGTTTCAACCAACGTGTATACGTTTATGAGTTGATCGAAATTAAAAAACCCCTATCTAGTATTGCCCATGTCCTTTGGTGAACCGGAAGAAAAATCTTTGAATTAATTTTTTATTCCATGTGTTTAGTGGACAAGTCATTATTGAGAGACGAATATTCATTTGCACTGTAAACGGCTGATATTCTATACGTGTATGGCCAGCCTTAGCCAGGAAACAAAAAGGTTTCAGAACAAAACACATCTACTTGTAGTGTATCTGTTCTAGGGTGTATTTTAGCACATTAAGACTAATAAAAATGGATAAGTGCCATCATAGCAAGGTGGGGTAACCTTACAACAAGCTCTCAGACTCACCAAAATTAAGGTGTGGGTATTAACCTAAAAATAGCATAAAGAAACAAAAAGCACTTGCAATTAGCAAACTATCAACGTAGGTAATAACACACCCTTAAGTAATTAATTACCCTTCTTACATGACCTCCACATTCCTCCTCCAAAGGTCAGTCACTGCTTTTACAAACCAGATCCTCAGTTGATCATTGGTCATCATCCTTTTATGTGCTTCTCATTCTTTCTCCAAAGATAACCCTGTGGACAGACATTTTCCAAACCTTGTTACTTATTCTCCTTAGGATTCACACCTTCATCATTTGTAACCAGCTCATACCTTCATCTAATACACTGTTCAACAAATTTTTATTTTTTGCCAGTTTTGGAAACAAAAGGATCCATTTCTTAATGAATTTCACATTCTGAGTTCAAATATAACAATGAAATTTGTCAATTGGCTCTAGTTTTTCTGTAAACGGAAAGTTTTCTACTATAGGCGTAATGACTACATAATGCACAATAATTATATAGATAGATGTCTTTCCACAAATATAAAGCAAGTGATATTGACTACATAACAAAGCCTAAATGGCATAATATATTGCATAGGATTACCAAGAAAAATTATAGCCATAAGCTAAGTTTAATCATTTTAATACTTAGGATTCTCACTAGTTTTGTCTTCAGTTTGTGTCGGTTTTGCTTCTCTTGGCTTTTCTCTTGTATTCGAGGAAAGGGCTATCTCTTACAACTGCACGTGACTACACGCTTCAGGTTCTTCCTCACTTGACTCAACCACAAAGGATTCTGGTGCTTTAGGAATTGGTAGCCCCTCTCCATGAGGAACTGGACGTATTGCCGATGGAATATTTGGATAGTGCACAGATAACTTTTTCTTCTTATTTAGCCCTTTTACAATTAAAGGCACCATACAAAAGTAACAATTACTAACATGATCTGTTGGCTCTCTCCAAATAATTGGCACAGCGAAAGGCATAGATGCCTTTTTTCCATTCAACCATTGCTCCAGTGCCGTCCCACAAGAATTGCAGCATATATGTGGTGCCCAGCTCTTGTCCTGGTCTCCTATCTTGCAGCCAAAATACAAGTTGTAGGATTTCTTAATCATTCCTGTTATCCTCCTTTTTTGTGAGATAAAAGTTATTTCACCGCAGATATAGCAGAAATTATCTGCTTTATTCACACAAGTTCGAGGCATTACTGAGTAGCCTATATAAGCATAAAACGAAATGTAAAGACGCTGTCGAACTACAATCAGCTACAGATACTGCAGCTTATATGCAGTGAAGTGATGCAATTAAAGGCTAATATTGCATCATCTCAGTATACATGCAATTTTCTATTGGTCACCAGTATCAATTGCGCAATATGCAGCTGAAGTTGCATCATAATTTTGAATGGCTTACGTCATTAGATGGGTGAATATATCATGGAAACTAGAGCCAATCAACATTTTTTAGGGTCATTTTCAGCACCCCAAAATTATGTAAGATTAGCTAATTTTATGCCCAAAACTTTTTACCTGTTGAACAGTGATATCAGTCACTCCTCTCTCATACTCAGTTATCCTCCCCACTTGTCCTACTCAGGTATTCTCACTCATGTTGTTCATTTCTCCTTTCCAGTTATCCTTTCATATGTGCTCCTCATTTATCCTGCTCACATAGTAATCACTTTTCCTTCCAGGGAGATACCAGCCACCATGTTTTGTGTACATGCAGATGTAAATGACATACTGTAATGTTCTGTTGTCTGTTCATGTTATTTGGCATTTTATTTTCTGTGACATCAATATCATAGTTTTTGGAAAAGGGAGGACCACATGCCTGTACAATTTGCTGATACTAATATATGGGAAGACACACATGACTTAAAGAAAGGACACATAAAGTATCAAGAATAGGGAAAGAAGTAAAGAGCATAAAGTGAAGAGCATAACTGAGGAGGACAACTAACAAAGAGATTTCATAGAAAACAGTAATCAGAATGTGTAAAAAGAATAGAGAAGAGACAGGTAAAAAAAATAACAGGATTGAATAACAAATAAGGATGATTGACCAAGCTTTTGTGAATAACAGAATAACGACAGATGCACAAATTAGATTTGAACTAAGAAGCATACAAATATGCAAAGTAGTAGCATTAGAGCATTAGCAGTAGCCTTAATTGCATTAGAAGTATGGAGACCATGTGAGGTGGACATCTGAGTTGTGAAGTCGATAGAGACCAAAGATAGAAGTTTGAAGGTAGAATAAATAGGCTTTATTTATTTAATTAATTTATTTATTCTTATTTATTTCAGGTAATTATATAGCGCCATCAATTTACGCAGCGCTTTACATATACAGTGGGGATCGAAAGTTTGGGCACCCCAGCAAAAACTTTGTATTAATGTGCATAAAGAAGCCAAGGAAAGAAATGGAAAAATCTCCAAAAGGCATCAAATTACAGATTAGACATTCTTATAATATGTCAACAAAAGTTAGATTTTATTTCCATCATTTTACACTTTCAAAATAACAGAAAACAAAAAAATGGCGTCTGCAAAAGTTTGGGCACCCTGCAGAGTTAATATCTTGTACTGCCCCCTTTTGCAAGTATCACAGCTTGTAAACGCTTTTTTTAGCCAGCCAAGAGTCTTTCAATTCTTGTTTGAGGTATCTTTGCCCATTCTTCCTTACAAAAGTCTTCCAGTTCTTTGAGATTTCTGGGCTGTCTGTCACGCGCTGCTCTTTTAAGGTCTATCCATAGATTTTCAATTATGTTGAGGTCAGGAGATTGTGAAGGCCATGGCAAAACCTTCAGTTTACGCATCTTGATGTAATCCCCCGTGGATTTCGAGGTGTGTTTAGGATCATTATCCATTTGTAGAAGCCATCCTCTCTTTAACTTCAGCTTTTTCACAGATGGCATCAAGTTACCATCCAAAATTTGCTGAAATTTTATTGAATCCATTTTTCCTTCTACTCGTGAGATGTTCCCTGTGCCACTGGCTGCAACACAACCCCAAAGCATGATTGATCCAACCCCATGCTTAACAGTTGGACAGAGGTTCTTTTCATTAAATTCTGTGCCCCTTCTTCTCCAAACGTACCTTTGCTCATTCCGGCCAAAAAGTTCAATTTTAACCTCATCGGTCCACAGAACTTGTTTCCAAAATGCATCAGGCTTGTCTATATGTTCATTTGCAAAGTTCAAACGATGATTTTTGTGGTGAGGACGTAGACAGAGGTTTTTTTATTAATCGACTCTTCCATGAAGACCATATTTGTACAAGTATCTCTTTATAGTGGAATAGTGTAACACAACTCCAGTGTCTGCCAGATCTTTTGGAGGGATCATGCAGTCAAAATTGGGTTTTGAATTGTTTTTTTCACAATCCTGCGAGCTGTTCTGTCTGATATTTTTTTTGGTCTTCCAGATCTTGCTTTAACTTCCACTGTTCCTGATGACTGCCATTTCTTAATTCACATTCGAACAGAGGGATATTGA